CTCTCAATGAGAAGCCCTTAATTCTTTTAGGCTCATGATGAATGTTTCTGCCAATATTATGACTATTAAGAGAGAATTTCAATCTACATTTTATCACATTAAGTGATAAGCCAAATTTTCTAAAATTTGGTTTCTAAACTCCTTAAACTATAGTTACTTCATTGGTTCATAAAGAAAGATGAGATGATCTCCTTCTTAAGCATTCAACAGCCATAAGAATGATAAGGAGCAGATTCTTATTTTCCCTCATAAAATGTTTTTGTGTATAATTGTACTTTTCCAGTCAATGGTAACAATGAGAATTATTGATCAATCAGAAATGAAATACTTTCATCTTCCTCCCTGCCAGATACACAGTTGCTTAAATTTTGGGTCAACTTCACATTAGTCACTTTAATTCCCAAGCAGGTCCATATTTTAGAATGAAGACCCCAAACCACAAAGGTATGTTTGCGGAAAAGCTTATACACATATGTATACAGCTTGCTTTCTATGAAGATTTCAACTATTTTGTCCTATACAAGTGAGTATAGAAAATATTTGGAACCATGACTGGCATAAGAGAAAAAACGCAAGTCCTACCAGATCTTTTAAGAGAAGTCCACTTGCTAAAAATAAATTAAAAGTGGTCTACAGAGAAGCAGGTTGTTTAGGCTCTTATGGATTTTTAAGGGACCACTGAGAAGACCAGAAGAAAAATCAGTTTTGCACCTGTGTTGTCAAATGGATTCAGTAAAACATTTAGGGAACTGTTTAAGAATGACAGTGATCACAAGGAATGCCAGCTAACGAAACACATGGTAAAATAACATGACTATACTTTCTAAAATTTCTCACAAATGATATATCTCACAGGATTTTATATTGGATTAAGAAATGGTAGATTTATTGATTTTTTTTGATTCTATAAAAAAGACAGAACTTGGATTTATTTTCCGAGCTACTTTATGGCCTATTTCTAGAGTTCCATTTCTCTGTACTAAAGAAAAGAAGAGCTTCAATATTTTGGCTGGCTCTTAAGTCTTATGAGCTGATGTTTCCCCCGAAACATTTAAGTTTAAGAAGTTTATATGGTCGAAGTACAATATGCAATACTCTGTAATGTGAAATTGAAGACTTCTGTTTTAACTTAAGAGGTTTATCGGGATGAAAATGCTCTATATTTAGCTTATGCAAATATTTATACTAGGTAAAACATAAATGAAGTTAAATACATAGTCTTCTATCAAGTTTATGGGATAGAATTTAATACTACCAAACAATTTCAATGAAAGAATTTAATATGTAAAAAGTGAATATATATAATAAAGTTATTTAAAAATTCCTCTCATATCTACTGCATCAGTGAAACACTATCATCTTTGTTTTATTCATTTTTATTTAAATAACTAAAAAAACCTGTTCATAGTGGGAAGAATATAAACTGATAATATTCCATTTATTAGAATCTTTCTGATATTATATATATGAATATCAAAAAATGTAAAAAGGAGAAATTAACTGAAAGAGTATGGGTAGAGACATGGGACATTGTTCATAATAGTTTTTAATCCTAAATCCTAAATGTTATAGAATTTTTATATACTTCATTACTTTTTAAAATGCTCCAGTCTCTAATGTAGAGTTATTGATCACAAATGCTTAGAAAACAGACCTCGCAAAGATTCCACCACTTTGAGCTTCCGACCAGCCTCTTTCCTGCTATAAAGTGCTAAGAAGTTCATGTAACATATAAGCAGAGCCTTGTCACACTAACTTAGATATCTTGTCAGAAATACACACTTCTCTTATTTTATGTTAGTACTTCAGTAGTAAGAAAGAGATGAGTAAATATGAGCTCTTGAAGTCAGAATTCTGAGACATCAAATCATAAAAATGTATGGACCTATTTAAATTAAGAGAAATAAATTTCTAACGTCTTAGTAATTTTAAACATATTTACAAAGAGATAATCCAAAGACTACTGGCAATCAAAATATGTGTGGTAGGATACATTCAGCAAATCACAGTATTTTACAAATCTTGGCTTCATAAAATCCCAAATTAATCTTTAATGGATGGGAACAGTAAGCTCTGTTGTAGCCAATGGAACTTAAATATAGTTAAATCAACTTTACACTATTACAGTCATCTAGACAAGCTGTCATTTTTTTTTAACTTCACAAAATATACCTTCTGTTTTATCTAAAAGTAAGACAAACTCCAAAATGACTTGGCCAGCATAGCATGCCCTTACTTTCTTCATCTGGATGGCCCTCTACCCTTTACTGACATCCTCTGGTCCTGATCACTGAGTCCCTTTTGACATTAAACTGCACTCCAACCTCTTCCTTGAAGGTGGTGAAGGTTTTTTAAACTAATAAATAAAAAAGATATTTAAAGAAATATATATTAACCAGACCTGGTCCATTTTTAATAGACTGTTACCTAATTGAACACATAAGATTAAGTAAACTTTCAGAATAAGCTAATTTTTAATTATTTTTTAAATAAATAATGCCCATTGTACATTACTGGTGTGATCTGAGTTCATTTTCCTAACTTAATAAGGATTTCAGACCACCTAATAGTTGAAGTATTGCTCACTTTGGGAACCATTAAGCTATTCCAGTAACCCGTTTAAAAATCCCACAACTGTAGCTTTTCAGACCTATTTTCCAATGCATCCACCTGTATGTGTATATGCCTCACAACTTACAGCAAAATCTGGCATTGAGTTAATCTACTGCAATGAGGTTCTTTTTTCTAACTTTTTAGAATTCAGACTTTCTATTCAGTTGTGTATGGAATCAAAGAGAAATTTAAATTAGCAGTTTTTCCCCTCATTTTTTTGTTTTCAGAAGTTTAATAAGAACAATTTAAAAGCTCCACCAATCCTTGCACAAATCGTTGGCCCTTATATTGGAAGAAACATTTCACTGATTTTCTGTTTTCAACTGTGCTTTAATACCAACTCACCACACTCCGGCTAAGTTACTTTTCAAATTCTATTTTATCTTTTATATCACATTTCCTTTCTTTTAACTTTTAACTTTGAATTCTGCGCTTCACTGGACTTACTTGGTCTCTATATATAAGATCTTTTATTCTTTAATCATTTGTTTTATGTGACATATTCTTACATAGTCATATTGTTTTTTCCACTTGAATCAAAAGAACTTATACCTGTGAAGTTTGAGACTCAATATACTGGTCCACACAAAACTTATAATTTGAGTATGAAGTAGGAAAATATGCAAATGAACATTTGTGAGTGGCTTAAAATTGACCACAGGCACTTTGGAAAAAAACAATGACCTAAGCATTACCAATTCTTTCATGTTTAGGGCCACAGTATTAATCATAATGAACTCTTTTTAGCTTGCAGTGATAGTCATAAGTTATTTCTGTGGTCCTGTTGTAGTTTCACAGTAATCAAATATACCTCAATTAATTCTTAAATTTGTCCCACTATGGGTTTGTATTTTTTTAATGCTTGTGTCCTAATGAACATCTACCTCTTTCATCCTTATTTCCAGTCAAAATTGAGAATCAAGGTAGAACTATGGCATCTCTAAGTGACTTTATGTTTAAATTAAGAAAAAATAGATGAATTGAACATAGGTAAGGCATTTCACATTTTAAAAGTTTTTTGCCTCCAAATCTGTATTTTAATTACCACACTGAATTGCATTTTTCCTGCTAGAGAGATTATGAAATTTAAAAATAAAATAATTCTAAAATATTTAGTGGGTTCTTGTTTTTTCCACAATAGTTAGTTAAAACAACTTAAAATCTTTGAGAGTGGGTGTGAGAGTAGTTCTTAGCTTATTGTACACCAATGTTCATATATATGCAAATGAATATTCTCTCCCATTTTTCAACTGAAAAACTCAATAAGGATGTCTGAACATATTTCTAAACTGTTTTTAAAAACCTGTCACATTCCTTGACAATATTTAGAAAACACCTTAGCATGATCCAAGACACTGTTTTTTCAGTCTCTGGAACTTTGCAGAACTCCACTTATAGAGCATCCCTACTGAATTTTAACAAGTCATTGCACTGCCAGATGCCCAGTTATTTGGGCTCTATTCTCACAAACACATTGCACTTGAGAGCGACGTCCTATTTTCTGAATATTTAGTTTCTTTTGTAGAAAAACCTCTACCCTCTCCTGGCATCTGTCATCTCAGCGTTTAGTTGCAGGACTTGTTTACTCTCATTCTGGATGATATTATGAGACCCACAAATAGGTCATATTTAGTCTCGCTTCAACTTTTCTGACATAATATCCCAGCAGAGAGAAATAGCATCTTTGATTAAAACAAAACAAACAGACAAAAAAAAAAAAAACACACAGCTCTATCCTACAGGTTTTAAATTCTGGCAGCATGGCAAGAAAGAATGGCTTTGCAGAAGCGAGTGTGTCAGAAACTGTGAGCGCCGAGAGGCAAGCGCACGATCACAGACAGCGGTCGCCGGCGAAGGAATACCAGCCACTTACCGGTGAGACGCCGGCCGCCCGTGTCCTTCCTCCGCGACTCTCAGTTCCCGGCTCCCATCCTCCCGCCCGTCGGCACAGTTCACACGGAGCAGTTGCTCGGGTCCTCCCAGCCCGCGGCA